AACCACTATACCAAACAGAATTTAAATAAGGGAATTTTCTCCCTTTCCCTCTCCTTAAACCAAAACATACCCTTAATTTCTTGATTCAAAGTTACAAGGGGGAGGATAAAGTCCCCAACTTTTTTTTGGAAAATAGGCAATGGAGATAAAGTCCCTAACTTGTGGCAGAAAAACAGGTCCTCATCCACATAATCTTGTTGATTTTAATCATCATACTCACCATTCACGTATTTCAAGAAAAATACTTACGTGGTGGGAAATTTTTGTAAAACGTGGCAGCCTCCCATTTATCATATCCACCACCATTCCGGTCCCACCATCAACCCCGCTCGCAATACAAAGCATCGGACGGTCAGATATACACGTCTTGTTTTTTATCAAATTTCCTGTCCCCACCATCAACCGCCAAATAACGGCCATGATGGTTTCAAAGGGTCAGCATGGCAAAACTGTAATAAACATCAAATTCCAATAAAATATTTGAAAAAATGATTTACGTGTTGAGGGGAAGGGATTATTAATGAGATTCATTTTTCTTTGGAATCTGCCTTGGCAATCCCATTCTACAATATATCTTCAGAATTCAGATACTAGAGAAAAGTAGAGCTTGAGGGAAGGAAGGAAGGGAGGGAGGGAGAGATGGGAAGAGCATTTGTGTATGTGATTCTTGGGGGAGGTGTAGCAGCTGGGTATGCGGCTCTGGAATTCACAAGGAGAGGGGTTTCTCATGGTGAACTCTGCATAATCTCTGAGGAACCTGTGAGTTTTTCAACTCAATTCTGTGTTTGTTTATTGAGTTTCTTCGTCTGAGGAGCTTAATTGGGTTATTGTGCGTAGTGGGTATTTGCTTTTACTACCGGGAAGTTGTTCTTTCTGTATCATAACATCTAATTTGCGTGATGCCTGCGTATTCAAAATTCAATCTTTTCAGTTGGAATCTGAAATTTTAAGTTCACTGTTCTCTAATTCCAACACTGTTGCCTTTCTAGTATGTTTTAAATTTGTGGGACTTCATTATTTTGCTTAATTTGGGATTTTTTATGGAGTTACATGCATTTCTTTTCAGGTTGCCCCGTATGAAAGGCCAGCCTTGAGTAAAGGCTTTTTACTTCCAGAAAGTAAGCATTTAAATCTTACTCTTCCAAAGCTGGGTTCTTTATCCAACTTTATTCATGAAATTTAGAAGATAATTTTCAACATAGGTTGTTTCTTTAAAATTAGCAGTTGCCCCCAGCTTTGTACCTGTCCTTGAATTAGCAGTTGCCAAAAACTTTAAGCTGTGTTGCTGGGTTGTATTATCCGTATGGAGGGGAATCATGTAGAAGTAGAGAAGAGCAGGACTTTGGTCGGGAATTACTGATATATTTGCATTGATGTTATGACTTTACATAACGAGCTTTTTGTATCTCCTTTAGTGTTTAGTCAGGTTTTTGCACTTTCATTAGCCTAAGGTCTTGGTAATAACACCGGTAAGAAGATTTGGTGAGATGGTGGATTTTAGCCGATAACCATTAACAATTTAGCCCTTTTGTTACCTCGGGTAATTTGGGAAAACATCTGGGGTAAGAGGCTGGAGGTTTATGCTGAACTTTAGTTTGGTATGTACGCTGATTTCTTTCCAATTTGTTTGTTTCATCCATAACTTATAAAGTTCATAAAGCTATCATTTCTGCATACATCATTCTGCCATCCTCTTCCCATCGGTTCTTCTTGATGTTCCGTCATTTTAATTGTTAAATTTTATGGCCAATCGCAGATCCTGCACGCCTTCCATCATTTCATACATGTGTTGGTGCTAATGAGGAAAGGTTAACTCCAAAATGGTATAAAGAACATGGTAAATTTTCTAACATTGTGTTCCTTTTTATTTTAAGATTACAATGAAATCATAGGATGAGAAATACTCTTTCTTTAAATTTGTACTTCCAGTATATCTCTTTTATCATTTATGTTGCTGTAACTGTGTTTCTAAATCTGACATTTTGTAGACATATTTCTTGTTGTTTATTAATAAGTTTTTAAAAAAGATTGCTTTACCTTTCAGAATCTAGAAAAATTCCATTCCTCATGAGATCATAAATTTTTAATTTTTTTTAGGAATTGAATTGGTTCCTGGTACTCGAGTTAAGTCTGCTGACGTAAGGCGTAAGACACTATTAACAGCAGCTGGTGAGACTATAAGTTACAAAATCCTGGTCATTGCAACAGGTGCTCGGGTACTGGAACTAATCTTTCAATGGTTTGATACCTTCTCTTTCTTTAAATAGTCAATTGATCTTATTTGTTGAAACTAAATGGTGAAAATTTTATGACAGTTTCACGGAAGGCAGTGTTTTTCTTTATCTTTTTTATCCCAAAGTGTTCCCTTCTTTGGAGATAATATATATATATATATATATATTTTTGATGTCATGTTAAACTCAGGAAGAACAAGAAGAAAAAGAAAATAAAATCCTATTATTTTCACAATTTTGAGGAGTTCTTTGAAATGCTGAGGATGGATGTAGACATGTGATTGGCATACAGAACATCACAAACAATTACATTTTCATGAATTCTGCATCTGTTTACTGGCTTTAATTTATCTTTCTATGATAAACAGGCTTTGAAGCTTGAAGAATTTGGAGTAAGTGGATCAGATGCTGCAAATGTGTGTTATTTACGAGATTTAGCTGATGCAAATAGGCTTGTCAATGTAATGCAATCTTGTGCTGGTGGGAATGCTGTTGTTATTGGTGGTGGGTACATTGGAATGGAGTGTGCTGCATCTCTGGTGATCAATAAGATAAATGTAACCATGGTTTTCCCAGAAGCACATTGCAGTAAGTGGTCTTGTTGGTGATCAACTTATGCTGGTTGCTGTTCATATCTCTTTGTAAGCTTCTATATGATTTAAGAATTCTTTCATGCTAATGCTAATACTGTGTTTTACAGTGGCCCGTTTATTTACGCCCAAGATCGCAAGCTATTATGAGGACTACTATGAATCAAAAGGAGTGAAGTTCATTAAAGGGACTGTCTTGTCATCATTTGAATTTGATTCCAGTGGGAAGGTATTGTGTTTTGCTTTAAAATTGTATGAGCATCTCCTTTGCTGTTCAATGGCATGAAGATGTGGGGCTATGTTGGTTACTAAAATTTTTGTCTAGTTTGCTGCATTTGAATATTGTTAGCATTTTTAAAATTATGTTTCAGATACTACCACTATTTTTGGAGTAAAATATGGACCAAGTGGGTTTGGTAACTAGAGAAAGGAAGCAGAAGAATAAATGGGGGATAAATTTAAAAAGCATACCAGACTGATCTAAACAACTGGCTTTTCAGGTGACAGCCGTTAATCTTAGAGATGGAAGCAGGCTGCCTGCAGATATAGTTGTGGTTGGAATTGGAATACGTCCAAACACAAGTTTGTTTGAAGGCCAATTGACTCTAGAGAAAGGCGGAATCAAAGTGAATGGACAGTTGCAATCAAGTAACAACTCAGTCTATGCAGTTGGAGATGTTGCCACATTTCCAGTCAAACTATTTGGGGAAACCAGGAGGCTCGAACATGTTGATTCAGCCCGAAAATCTGCTGGACATGCTGTTGCTGCAATAATGGAACCAGAGAAAACTGGAGAATTCGACTACCTCCCATTCTTCTATTCAAGGGTCTTCACTATGTCTTGGCAGTTTTATGGGGACAATGCTGGTGAAGCTGTGCATTTTGGTGATTACTCAGGACACACCTTCGGGGCTTACTGGATAAACAAGGGTCACCTTGTTGGGTCTTTCCTTGAAGGAGGAACCAAAGAGGAATATGAAGCCATAGCAAAGGCCACTAGGCTCAAACCTGAAATCGAAGACTTGATAGAGTTGCAAAAGCAGGGTTTGGATTTTGCATTGACAGTTAGTCAGAAACCCCCACTTCCTGAAGCTCCACCACTCAAGGTCAGCAATTCCAGCCTTGTTCTAGAGAGACCACTCTATGCTTGGCACGCAACAGCTGGTGTTATCCTGGCTGCGTCAGTAGCTGGATTCGCATATTGGTATGGGTGGAGGCGCAAAAGATGGTGAAAAAATAATTTTGTTTGCATCAGCTATTTTTGCTGGTGCTGATTCAGTCTGTAATACCAATATTGTTCCATAATACATAGCTGATTATCCAAATGCTTCAACATGTTCTGAGCTCTTCATTCATTTTTAATCAAAAATAGCTCTATATATTGATCCATACAAATCCTTTCTCTAAGAGCTTTATAAGGGAGGGGGAGGAATGAAATCATGCGAACTAAGTTCTACTTCTTAATAATAGATTGTTTGGAAATTTCGAACAGGTTGGGCATTTGGTCTAGTGGTATGATTCTCGCTTTGGGTGCGAGAGGTCCCGAGTTCGATTCTCGGAATGCCCCCTCTTTTTTTTTTTTCAATTTTTCATAGCTGGTTGGGGTAGTTTCGTAAATCCAAAGTTCTGCAAACGGTGCAATATATGCACTCCTCCCATTTGCCGCTCCTCCCCTTATCCTATCTTCTTCCCACGGTCACCCTCCAAGTTGAGGAACTGCAAAAATGGCAACAACACTCTCTATTCTCTCCCTCTGCACCCCTTCTCCTACCCCAAACCTCTCTCCTTCTCCCCCCCAAACCCCCTTCAAATCCCATTCTGTTCAGTTCCCTTTTCTTTCTAACCCATCTCCTAACCTCTCCCACCGCACCACTTTCCTCCGTCCCCTTGCCGCTACCGCTGCCCCAGAGAAAATCGAGAAACTTGGCGCTGAAATCTCCTCCCTCACACTCGAAGAAGCTCGCACGCTTGTCGATTACCTCCAGGAGAAACTCGGGGTCTCGGCGGCAGCAGTTGCGCCGGCCGCTGTTGTGGCCGCCCCTGGAGCCGATGGGGCCGAGGCGGCAGCCGTACCAGAGGAGAAGACGGAGTTTGATGTCGTTATAGAGGAAGTCCCCAATAATGCAAGAATTACAGTGATCAAGGTTGTGAGGTCTTTGACGACCTTGGCATTGAAGGAGGCCAAGGAATTGATCGAAGGATTGCCAAAGAAGTTCAAGGAGGGAGTCTCTAAAGATGAAGCTGAGGACGCAAAGAAGAAGCTCGAAGAAGCTGGAGCAAAGATTGCTATCGTTTAGGTAATCTGGGGTTGGTTTTGTGTACCCATTTTTTTGGATTTCAGGTAGCTTTTGTAATGTCAATTAAATTACAGTAGATAATATCATTGTATTGGAAGCTTGATTTTTATTCACAAATGCGATGGAATTCTCCTTCTCAAATCTCAATTGTGTTTGATGAAATTCCAACGAGACTGGCCACATGAACTAGTAGTCTGTTGTGTACTTTTTGGTTAATTTGCCCTGAAAGTGTTTGATGAAATTGTCTGAATCAAGACAAATCGCCCCAATGAGTTTCAGACTCACAAATCCTTGCATTTTGAGTGAATATGGGCAAACATTTGATGGAAATAGAATTTCTAAGACTCAGCATAGTCTGTCTGGATCTTTTTCTCTTATTAATGAATGGGGTGGCGACGGTAGACCTAGTGAAATCCTCATCTAGAATTCATGGCAAATACAGGAGGCAGGAAATAAGATCCAAGTAGCACCTAGTGAAGGCAGATTTGAACTTTAATTGCTTATTTAGGGGGTATTTGGTAGGCGTTGATGTTTCAAGAAACAATCTTTTTATCTGTTTATAAGAGGTGTATTTAGGTTCATCCTTCATGAAATATGATGTTCAAAACAGCATTTAATATGCCCTTAATGCTCATTATGGAGAAACGGGTTTTTCCTGGTATAGAACATGAAAAAGTAAAACCTTTTGTTTACGTTTCAGTTCAGCTAATCTCCCATAACTCCCTTAGATATGGTATTAAATAACGCCTGACTTCATATAAATAGAATAATTATATAATAACATGTTATTATTAGAAACTTACATTATCGTGCGGGATTGTAACCATCACATTCTCATCGAATTTTGATGTAATATCTTCTGCTTCGCCTATTTGTATGGGCTTCAGTTTTGTTAGGTCTTCTCCTTGGTTTTATTTCTAGGCAGACCAAAAAATCTTTAAATAGAGGTTTTTTATTTTTATTTTTTATTATGATTATACGATGAAAAATAATAATTTCTTATTCTTTATTTATGTTTACCCATATATCACACGATTCGAATTTATAATTATTTACTTTCAATTGAATAAAATAATCAATGAATTATTTAAATTATTGATTTAAATAAAAGTCTTATGCAGGTGAAAAAGACTTCCATTTGGCCTTGGATTCAAATGCCACAGGCAGCAATAACGGGAAATTTCAGTATTTTTACAACTTTAGCATACATTTTACTATTTTCTCTAAACGACTAATAGTATATTTAATTTGAGGGGATAAGAATTCTTTATTTTATTTTTTCAAATAAGGAGAAGGGTGGGAAATGGAGCGAAACCAAAATCTCTTTTACTTGGGATTTTCTCAAATTAGGATTCCATTTCCTTTTTTTTTTTTCTATTTTCTTTCTCATCTTTTTATTTCTTTTCAACTAAACATAATGTAAGAATTTTATATTTATTAAGTAATATTTTAATTCAAATTCTATTAGGATCTGTTTTAGAAATTATTTTAGATTTGAGAAAATGGGTAGATAAGAATATGAATTTGATTGTTTTTTATTTAAAGATATGAATGTTATCAAATTTTAAATAAAATGCTAAACTTTTAATTTTTTTATATAAAAATATAAACTTTACATTTTTTTAATTTAAGAATGCTATTGTGAAAAATAACTTTTTTAATCATCAAATTAATTCTTAAAAATTTACTTTTTCAAATATTTATATGCTTTTTTTCCCTTGGATATTATATGAATTTTATCAATAATTGGTAAACTTCATTCATTAAGACTTTTCACTAACATTATTTAAAAATTAATTATTATTATTTTTTAAAACGAAATAATATTCAAACCCCACGCCTTCAAGTTTTAACATTAAAAAATCTTATTAAAAAGATGGTGGCCACTAGGTCATCCTCTAATTATTTTCCTATTTTAATCCAATTGCAGCTTGGAAGACGAATAACCGTTGCTTGAGGGAAAGCTTAATCGTCACAATTTGCTTCTGCGGTCCAATGACGACCCTTTCTTTTTCCAAAAACCACGTCAATACACGTGTCAATCATCTGAAACTACTTTCTGCCTCCGTTACCGCACAAAAATACCACTGCACTCGCATCACACTCACACACCCATCTCCACTCGCCATCAGAAGCACACAGGTAGTAGTGATACACGTGGACGTACAGATGTCGGCAGTGTAATATACCCTCTGAAGATGCGCGCGTCATAAAAACTTAGTCCAATTCGTACACGTGGCCTTTCCATTTAAACAACAAAAAATAATAAT